ATGTGGTAATCTGCTGGTTGTGAACCTGAGCCCTTAGAATTCATGCAGGTGCCAGGATTGGAGCCTTTCCAGCCTAGGCGCTTTAGCAGCCCCTCCCCTCCTGAAGGATGCTCGAGGCCCGCCTGCCCCCCCCCTCCCGACGCAGGGCAGTGACGCTGCGGGTGCTGCCGCTGCCGGTGCTGGTGGAGGGGCGGGGGCTGCGGGCAGCACCGCTTTCCTCCCTGCCCCAGTGGTGGGACTTCGGGCCCAATGGGGGAGAGATCTTCTTACCAGCGCCTGGCTAGGGGCGAGGAGGGACAGCAGGTAATGGGGATAGCGACGTGGGGCTCAGGCTTCGTCATCTGCTGGTAATTTGTCGGCCCAGCTCTGCTCTCTGCAGCAGGGGCTTCTTAAGAGTCCAGGGTGCTTGTGCTTTTTTTTTCCTCCCCGTCCCACCCCCAATCCCTAGATCTCTGGGACCAGGAGGCTGGATGCAGAGTGGTGTGTGTGTTGGATATGTCTGAGGTGATGGTGGTGGTGAATTATTGATGCTGGTATCTGACTCAGTAAGCATGGGTCCCTAGGGGCCCAAATAAGCTGCCTTTTAGGCTCTCGGCAGTGCAGGTTAGGGGCCTAGGACACACAACTAGTATTCAGGTTCACTCTGTTGTGGGAAGAAGCTGTGTCTTTGGGAGTCTGTCTCATTAATTGGCCCGTTGAGTATGTGTATCAACCTAAATATCCTTGTGTGCTTTTGAAAAAGGCACTGTATTCACAGGGCTGCTTGCTTCCCTTTGGAGATGGAGCACTTTCTTTCCTAGCCTCGAGAGGGCAGCAGCTGGCAGGAGACAGGGGAATGTGCCTGGGAATTGAGAGGCCGAAAGGTCAAGGCTGTTTTCCCTGGGGGGAAAGAGGTCCAGGGACTGACCCGGCTTCCAGCCCTGCAGCATATGTTGCCTGAGTTGGGGTTAGCTGCCTGGTCATCTTATTTAGACATCTGGGGGATCAGACATGGGGTTCTAGTGGATTTGAGGCATGCCTTTCTGGGGTACCTAGAATTTATAAATTGGCCAACCTTATCAGCCCCAGCTTGCAGTAGAGGTAATCAACTTGATTAATTTGCCAATAACTGCAGGCTCCTAGGTCTGATGGGTAGGCTGTAGCCCCCTCCAGTTTGAGGGTGTGGTCAGATAACCTGTGGAGAAAGGCAGTGTCCATGAATCCTGAGGAGTCTGACCTTAGCTTTGACCTCAGTCCTCACACTGATTATATGCTGAGCCTTGAAAAAAGGCTGTACTTGACAATCCACAGTCTTTGTATGAATAATGTCAGTGGGGAAGGGCTGTTGCTGGGAGCCCCCCCCCAATTAGAATAGGAAATGGTTGTCCTTCCAAGTAGGGAGTTCAAATTCTAGAAGAGATCCTGGAAAGAGAGTCTGGGATGCTGACTCCCCAAAACTCTCAACCTCAGCTGCCTCCCCCATGAGCCAGCTGTGGCTCCCTGAGCCGGCAGCCAGCTGGATAGTGACGGACAAGAGAGCTGTATACCAGGAACAGGGCCACTTAGACATGGCTGGGGGTGGGGAGTGGGGATCTGGGGAGCAGAAGAAAACTTCCTGCAGCTGTCAGGTGTATCTGCAGGCTGTAACAAGGGGGGGTGGGTAGAGCAGCTGGCACTTTTGAGGGGCAGAGGGACCATTTGTTAGCTGTAAGAGTATGGGGGCACACAGAAGCTGGATGGAGTGCCTTCAGATCCTGTAGACTAAGGCTGCTATATGTATTGGGTACTGTACATGATATGTATCCAACGGCCTGATCTCCTATAGCTTTGAGGCAGGAGTATCCCAGCAGAGAGCTTAGGACACGTTTGTTTATTTAGGGGGAGTTTTGCATCTTTGCCAGCTAATCTGGGGAGTATGCACCCTAGTTGTTGTGGGCAGTACACAAGGCAATCCCAGAGGAGGGGTGGAGATTCCCCCCCCCCCAGCTCTTGGCTGGATTGTCCCACTCTGGCAGGCTGCCTGCCTCCTATTTCCGTCGGGCACCAGGGTAACAGGGCCACATTAGCGTCTGAGCCAGGAGACACCCAGCCAAGGTTGGGACGTGTATGGGGGAGGGTCTCTGAGGTATCTGTCTACAGAATCCCAGAAAGACTCCCATAGATCCAGAAAAGCCTTTAGGGGGCTTGTAGCCCCTTTTTATATGTGCTGTTTGATTGACAGCCCCCAGAGATCCCAGGGCTTCTCTGCACCCATGAGGGTTGCAGTGGAAGCTAGAGACAGGGAGCCTTGTGTGGGGGGAGTCAGCAGGGCCAGCGCTGGGAAGAAGAGTGCCCCCCCCCCATTCCTGCTGTCCTCTTGGCTGAGATTCAGAACGGTCTTTTTTCAGCCAGTGTCAGAGCCGCTCAGCTGGGGAGGGAGGGAAGGAGGACAGACGGGCAAGCAGGCGGTGGGGGAAGCCCGGGAGTAGGACCAGAGCTGTGAGCACTGCACTGGAGAAAGGACAGAGGACCCAGCCTGCGACCAGCTGTGGAAACCCAGCCGGGCTTGCGGGGGAGCAGACCCACCACTCCATTCTTCTTCCCTGTTTCCTACTTCTGTGTGGGATCTGGGGGATTTCTAGGACAGGTTTCCCCCCCCCCCCACCTTCTGGGCAGAGCATAAAACTCAGGAGCTAGGGCCCTTGCCTGCCCACTTTAGAACTAGGCCATAGCTCCTGTGACTTAGAGTCGTGAGTTTGTGGAGATGCCAGCAGCCCGTCGATTTCCTGGGCTTGAGCTCTCCTTCCCTCTCCTGGCCAGACTGCGGCGACGGCTGTACACAGTGAGTGGGGGTCTGGGGGTGGGAAATGGACTGGCTCTGGACAGAGTTAGCCCCTCAGTAGCGGCACTGTACAGAGGGGCAAGGAGTAGGCAGGACTGAGGGGCACCTTCCTGAGGTCTGTGGGTTGGAGTGCTTTTCCTTTCTGTAGGCTGCATTCATCCTTGGGGGGGGGTGTCTCTGGATGGTCAGGCTAGTGAATGCTTACATGCAGGCCATTGAGCCTTGTGTGTCACACACAGCTGGTGTAGATTCCACACCAGCTATGGGCCACACACACAGCATCGGTGACTGCCTGAGCTAGAGGTCACTGCTCTAGTGCCTGTGCTTCACAATGATACCTGGGCTGGAGGGTGACTTAGGGAGGTCACTGCAGCCTTAGCAGTAGGAACAGGACTAGAACCCCACCTGACTCCTTTTTCTTCACCAGGATCCCAGTGTTCTTCCTAGGCTTCATATCTCTCCTTCCCCATAGCAGCCCTGTTTCTGGGTTGGGGAGCAGGGAGGGAAGCTGAGCAGAGAGGTTTCTTACCTGATCAATCAGGGAAGAGAAACAGGCTGCGCTGTGCTTTCTTAGTAGCATCAGGAGAAGGGCCTCTGCGTTTCACTGCACACTCCCTGTCCAGGATAAGTTTTTGAGCTGTTACCTGGAGTCAGAAGAAGGGAACGGGGAGCCTGGAGCCTAGGGCTTGAGGAGGTGGGAAGGGAGGGAAGCCTTCGGGCTGCGTGTCCTGATGGGGGTCAGTAGCCCCTCATCTGGAAGCCATGCCACATAGCCAGTGGGTTCACTTTGCTCCAAGGCCAAGGCAGTGAACGGTGGAGCCTGGCCAGTGAGTTCACTACACACCTTAGGGCTTTACTCAGGAAGAGTGGTGACTGACACACTTTGTTTGCAAACAGATGGTTTTGTGGAGGATAAGAGTCAGTACAGCTCATGCTTAGAACTGGCATAGTAACTACAGCCTTTTCAGTTTTATTTTATTTTATCTATATGGGTGCCTGCATGTATGTCTTTGCACATTGTGTACGGTGCCTGAAGAAGCCAGAAGAGGGAGTCAGATCACCTGGAACCCCAGGTGATTTTGAGCTGCCCTGTAGGTGCTGTGAGTTGGATCTGGGTCTTCTGGAAGAATCTTAACCTCCGAGCCATCTCTCTAGCCCCATAACTCTGGTTTTGAAGTATCAATACATTATTTTTGTTGCCCTTCACAAAATTAATAGAAATGTTACATACTAAGTATATGTAGAGTCAGTAAACATGGTGTCAACTAATAATATTGGAGAGATAAAAGGGAAGTCGTTTGTAGCATTTATGTATTTTGTCATTTACTGGCTGAAGTAGGAAAGATCGGGGACACTCAGACCTCAGTGGAGCCACTGATGATGGTTCAACATAATAATGGCAGATTCTTCATTAATGTTTCTCATCCAGATAGTGAACTCTTGCCATGTTCCAAGTAAAGTAGACTTTTCCTCAGTTTACATGGTAGTTTACACAGTTCAAGGAAAATCGGGTCCCGTTGAAACTACAAAAGTATTTTCTTGTTTAAATGTAAAATGGAATCTAAGTCTCTGGATTCTGATTATTCTAACAGTTTTTACCTGCATGAAAAGTTGTATGGAATTTGTATGTTCAGTTCTGTCCCGTGTGTTCCAAAATAACTAATGTTCATATGCCCCCTACAACCTGCTGTCACTAGCCCCCTCCATACATGTGCACCATGACAAGCACACACACCCTCTCTCGGGATGGTTGCACAGTCCTTAGGAAAGCTCAGCTTACTGTTTGGAAGCCCCCCCACCAGCCCAGCTGCCTGCCTCACAATCCTTGGTTGAAGAGCCAGGTTTTGAACCAAGGGTTTATCATTCTCATTTGTAACTCTTTGTGCTGTGCTGAGCTGCCTGGGAAAGTCTGAGCCCCTGGCACTGTGTTGGCAGGACCACTGGGAATTGTAGGAGCAGGAGGCTCATGCTGGGCCTGGGTGGTGTGTGCCTGATCTTACTGCATCTGTGTTGAGAGCACACTATTTTCAGGAGAGGGTAACCTGTTCTGGGCTCATCTCAGCTGCTCCGACTCAGCTGTTTTAGGTAGCAAGAAAGTGCTCTGAATGTTATAGGATGTGGGTGAGCCAAGGGCATGGATGGGCAAGTCTGCCATCTGCTCACATCCCGTGGTCCCTCAGCTATTCTTTCATTTCTACAGAGGCTGGGGAGCAGCAGCATGCAGCCGGAGGAGGGGACAGGCTGGCTGCTGGAGCTGCTGTCCGAGGTGCAGCTACAACAGTATTTCCTGAGGCTTCGGGATGACCTCAACATTACCCGCCTGTCTCATTTTGAATACGTCAAAAATGAAGACCTGGAAAAGATTGGCATGGGCCGGCCTGGTAGGTAGCCCACAGGCTTTGTGTTCTCCCCTGACCATTTGCCTCATTTGTATTCATCGTGGCTCAGCACAAGAAGAATCTCTTCGTCATGGCAACTGAGGGCTTTACCAGCTTCTGACCTGAGATGAGTGGGAGGCGTGAGGAGAGTGCTGCTCACAGGGTGCCCAGGGGATGGTTTGTAGTTGAATGTGAATGTGAATTGGAATTGAGGAGAATGGCATCTTAGAGCTGTGGCCACCAGAGTTAATTTCGTGCACCTTTTTTGGTTTTCTCCCCAGGTACTGGGTATTGAATTTAGGGCCTAACCTGTGCCACCTGGGTGTTCTACCAGTGAGCACACCCCAAGCCTCCCTGCCTCCACCCCTTTTTAAAGAGACACTGGGAATTGACCCTAGGACTTTTCAAGTGCCAGGCAAGGGCTCCAAGGGCTCCACTACTTTAGCTCTGGCCCATCTTTTCTGCACTTTGTGGTTTTGAGACAGAATGTCAGTAAGTTACCCAGGGTAGCCTTGAACCCTCTATTGCTCTGGAAGACCATGGACTTAACCTCCTGTCTCAGCCTCCCTGATAGCTGGGGTTGCAGGCCTGTGCTACCAGGTCTGCTCTCTAGTCCTTCCCCCTTGGTGTTTGATGGGATATCTGTGGGATGCATTTCCTGTGTCTCTTTTGTTTCATTCTGAACACCAGTGGGGTTAATGCCATGAGATGGGGCTAGAGAGATGGCCCAGTGGTTAAAAGCGTGTATTGTTCACTTATAGAGGACCCTGGTTTGGTTCCCAAATCTAAATCAGGTAGCTTATAACTGCCTGTAGCTGCAGGGGTCTGACAGCTCTTCTCATCTCCATGGGCATCCTCATACATACACTGACACACACACAATACATAACAATAAAAAAAATCCTTTAAAGAACATCTTTCCAGCTGCTAACACACTGATACTTTAATCTTTCGCTTCTTTCTAAACTAAAACTAGCAGTTACCATCTAGAAGTGAGAAATTTATCAGGAGATGTGGGTAGAGCTCTCTTGTTAAGAGGTGTTTACTTAACATCTGTGAAGTTCTGGGTTTAATTCCCAGCACCAAAACACAAACATCTCAAGAGGTGGAGGCAGAGGATCAGTAGTTCAAAGTCATCAGCTATGTAACAAAGTCATCCAGCCTGGGCTACAATGGACTGTCTCAAAAAAGCCATAATCAGACACCTTAGTGTGTCCAACTCAAGATAGCCAAATGTTTTACAAGCTTAAAAAAAAAAAGACAATAACTTATGCTACTTTTGCTTAGATAGTTGGTTTCTGTCCTAGTTAGGGGCACCATAGCTGTATGAAACACCATGAGCAAAGCAGCTTGTTGAGGAAAGGGTTTATCTAGTTTACACTTTCACATCGCTGTTCATGAAGGAAGTCAGGACAGGAGCTCTCAATAGGACAGGAACCTGGAGGCAGGAGCTAGTGCAGAACCCATGGAGGGTGCTGCTCACTGGCTTGCTCATGATTTGCTCAGCCTGTTTTCTTATAGAACCTAAGGCCACCAGCCCAGGGATGGTACCACTCACAATGGGCTGGGTCCTTCCCCATCAATCACTAATTAAGAAAATCCCCTACAGGCTTGTGTACAGTCTTATGGAGGCTTTTTCTCAATTGAGGTTCTTTTTCTGATGACTCTAGCTTGTGTCACATTGGCATAAACGAGCCAGCAGTGTCTGATGTCAGTGTAAGAAAATTATATGAGAAGGAAACCTTAGAATGGAGACAATTGTGTGTTTCCTTACCTGAGTTGTCTGGAGAGTTGGCGAGGTACTTGGCCACTACAGCTGTTGAGTTTTGATGAATAAACACCTCCAGCCAGTTTGAGAGTCGTCCAGAGGTAGAATGTAGAGATTGGGTGAATGAAACTCCTAGTTGGCAACTGATTCCGTTGGTGGCATTGGGTTGAGCAGTATCTAGTGGTGGGCCTATCCCAGGAACTGAGGGAGCCAGTCAGGTGGACAGCAGCCTCCTTGGGAGGGTATGTGAGCTGTCTGACAGCCCTCGGTTCACTTTCCCTCCTTGCAGGCCAGAGGCGGCTGTGGGAGGCTGTGAAGAGGAGGAAGGCCATGTGCAAACGCAAGTCATGGATGAGCAAGGTGTGTGGGTAGGCTGTGAGGGCTGGAGGGGTGGGAGGGGCAGCCCAAGGGCCTTACACTGCTGCCAGGCCCAGGAGCCTTCTCGTGTTGCCCAGAGGTATAATCTCACCGATTCCCTCACACTTGGTAGAGACCTCCCTCCTCCAGGCTCTTATCTGGCAGGGCACTTGTGGTGCTGCCTGGCTAAGTGTTTGTCTCCGCCACAGACAGACACGTGAGTGGCCTGTGTGCTGAAAGGGTTTCACAGCCTCTCTGTGCAGGAGCTGGGACTTGTTGACAAGTGTTTCTTCCTCTGAGTGTCGGGCCAGTGTCCAGAAAGTGGTAGCGGGGACTGTCTGGACGTCTTTGTCTTGTTCTGTCTGCCCCCTAACACTCCCCCCATGCTCCCCGGTCTTCAGGTTCCTTTAGTCAACTGGCTCTGCTGACAGCTTCCTTCCCCACAGCTTCCCCACACCCACCCCCATCCTAATTTGGGTCTGTGGTGTTGTGAGTCCCTGATCTGACTCAGTGGAACTTTGCCCATTGTCTGGAAGACAATGAGAGAGGAAGTGAGCCAGCCAGGGCCTCCCTCCCTACTTCTGGCCTCAGAACTAGGGTGAGGGGTGAGCAGGGCAGAACAGCAGGACCAGGATTGGGCGCTAGAGATTTTCTGGCTGCAGTCTGGCAAAGGGGCTGTCTCTTGAGAGCCTGTGGCCTTTTCTGGGGACACAGTCCTGGTCCATTGCCCAGGTCTTAGCAAAGGCTGAATGTGTTGAGACTTATTGACAGTAGAGAAAAGCAGTGTGGGATTTTTGGATCAAGTCCCCAGCCCATAGTAGGTCTGATCGGTGGTCCTGTCTAAGATTGTCATGCCTTCAGTAACCCAACATTGGCTCCATTACCCAGCTTACCATGCAGGACTGTGGAAAGGGTCCCTCTTGGCTGCAGTAGCTAAGGTAGATCTTGTAAGTTGAATGTTATTGGCAAATATTACGAGTTCAGTTACTGGGAGGAGGGGACAGAGTCCAAAAAGGTCCTCAGATTTGAGCTGCCCCTTAGTGTTTGATTTCGGAACAAGGGGCTGAAGTGCATATTTTACACACCAAAGCAAACCTGGCCTCCAGGTTCCCAGCATCCCTCAGTCCCTGCCTGGCATACCTTGCTCCCCAACCCTGGCTACCATCCCCCAGAG